TGTGTATGAATTGATCCCTGACAAAAACTTCTGCCAGCTTTCTCTTCTGGCCTGCCGACGCGTTCTCCTGCCTTGAGACTTCATTTTCTTGAAGGTGTCAAGATTTTCGGCTGTCGGTGAGTTCCGAAGCAACCTCCATGCTCTGTTTTGCTGTTTGCGCGCACTTTGGCATTCAGAGTTCCAGCATGGCACACGCCGTTTTCCAGGGTGTCCATTTGTTTGTGGGATTCATTTTGTTGCAGCATCAATCAAAAACGCTGTGAAGTAGTTAACAGCAACATCAATGCTCAAAGTACATATGTCACTCCAACCTAAACGAGCGGTGGTATAAAACTGTTCCCAGTCGGCTCTGTTTACGAGCCGTTTGGGAACACGTGGTGGACACTCAGTTGCTGTGGTTGTGCTCAAAACTACGGGGAAGTGGTCACTTCCGTACGGATTACTGATGACTTTCCACTAGAGTAGAGGCACAAGAGACGGCGATACTATGCTTAGGTCTATGGAGGAGTAGGTATTATTAGAGAGATTATAATAGGTTGGTTCTTTTCGATTTAAAGACACGCGCTCGACGAGAGAAGGAACTGTTCAATCAGTCGACCTCGCGCGTCGCAACGAGAGTCACCCCATAGCCTGCTATGCTCATTAAAGTCTCCAAGGAGAACATAAGGCTCCGGAAGTTCATCAATTAAAGAGTGTAAATCGTGTTCTTTCAGCTGATAGCTAGGAGGAATGTAAATAGTGCAAATTGTGATAAGGTTATCAAAAAGAACCGCTCGAACAGCCACTGCCTCAAGGGATGTTTGGAGTTGTGTGTGCATGCAATCCCTTGATTCACTATAATGGCAACACCTCCGGATTATATCATGGCATCATCACGGTCCTTTTGGAAAATAACGTATTTACGAAGAAAGTTGGTGTGTTTTGAATCAAGGTGTGTTTCGTTTACACACAGCACTTTTGGTGAGTATTTGTGTAAAAGTTCTTGGATGTCGTCAAGGTTTCTGAGAAGGCCCCTGACGTTCCATTGTATAATTTGAAGTGAATGTAAAATAGTGCTGTGTGTACGAAAAGCGAGTGGCTATTTAGACAGGGAGTTTGAGTTCTCGTAACAGGGACGTCACCAGGCCCTGTTATCTGCTTTTTTGTTTTCCTGGCGGGCTCCAAAGAGCCACGCCGCTCTTTCGGCATCAAGGGTACCGACGTATCCATTGCCTCCTCGAAGACACTGGATGCCCGCACGTGCGAGCTGTTAGTTTGGGCCTTGCCTGGCGAGGGGAGGCCTTGAGACCCGAGGACTCTGGAGTCTCTGTTCGGGAGTAGGCAGTGTAGTCTGGACTACAGCCGCCTTGAGGGCAGGTGCCACAACCGCCGGCTAGGTATGCGCGGGCCGAAGGAGTGGCGAGGGCTGGAGCCCCCTGATGCGCCGCATCAGCATATGTAGGTTCATAGAATGGTGAGACTCTTCGCCGTGCTTCCTTGAATGAAATGTTCTCCTTCACCTTCAACGTTAATTATCTTTTTTTTCTTTCTTCCAGTATGTGCAAGAGCGTAAATATGCGGCATGGTTTCCTTCACAGTTTGCACAGTGTTGCGGTTGTTTGCAGTTCTCAGACACGTGGCCTAGGACTCCACATTGTGCACAAGTTTGGCGACCACGACAGCTTTTAGAGCCATGGCCATATCTCTGACATTGGAAGCAACGACGAGGGTTCGGTATGTATGACCTGAGAGAGGTCTTCGTGTACCCTGTTTGAATACTTGCTGGCAGATTACTGGAAGCGAACGTGAGTATTAGGTGTTTTGTTGGTGTTACCTAGTTGTCTCTTCTGATGATAATCCTTTGTACATTAGTCACATTCTGACTCTTCCACCTCTCCAGAAGTTCCTCTTCGATCATGCCAAGCAAATCAGCATCAGATACCACACCACGGGTTCTGTTAATTGATTTGTGTGGTGTTACAGTGATTGGAGTGTCACCAAAAGTTTAAAGATTTTGTAGCTTCTCAAACTGTTCTTTTTCTCGAGTTTCGAGGGGGAGGTCTCCGCTGGCCATTTTGATAACTTTGTACTCGGCCCCAAGAGTTTCTGTAAGACACTTGGCTACTACAAAGGGGTATACAGTTCTGGCTTGCTTGCCACTTTTCTATGTATGAAATGAAAATGGGGAAGTTCCCTTTTGAACGGTTGAGAAAACCCAAGTCTTCGGTGCGCACGCGCTTTTAGGCGGTACGATCATTTAACAGAGGAAAAGCTCGATGCATGAGTGTTTCATTTTCTTTAGAGGCGTTGGCGGCCACCCACCACGGAGCCCAACGAGGGGACATTACAAGTTTGGGGATGCTAGAACCTGCAGACGCCAGCCGTACAGCACAACTATAACCCAATGTGCCATGACCAAGGTAGACTATTTACACAGGGTTAATCCTAGCGGCCAGGAAGTTTGGAAGTAAACAGAAGAAAGTAGAAGACAGGATAGATGAAAAGTGAGAGAGACGAAGATGTAGGAAGAGAGAGAGAGATAGGAAAAGGCGACTGCCGATTTCCCCTGGGTGGGTCAGCCCAGGGGTGCAGTCTACGTGAAGCCGGGGCCAAAGGGGTGTGTTGCCTCTGCGGGGCCTTAAAGGTCCAATCACCCGACGTCGGCTCAACCCCCTGGATTCCCTTTTCCCCGAACACGGCAAAGCCACGCACAGCTAGGCATGGGAGGGAGTAGAAACTCCCCTGTTAGTTCGGGTTCGTGGTGTCGCTACACACCAAATGTCTACTTACGCTGGCGCCCCTGCGGGTAGACATTTGCCTTCACTTATGCATGCCTTCACTTATGCATTATTGCCTTCACTTATGCATTATTGCTTGACATAACTCTCACCAGTTGTTAAATTAAGGTTTGACAACACTTCGGAAATTTTTTGCAACTGTAAGTATTTTAAAATAAAACAAAATATCTCAATCTGAGCATTATTGAGCAATAAGCCGTATTTGCAATATTTCTAAATGAAGTATGGATACAACGCTGCAAAACAACATTTAGTAAACACGAGTTACTCATAGCAGTATGCAAAGAAAACTTTTGACTCAAAGCTACACACTTGTTTTCTAGGATACCGTGAAAATCCCATTTTTGCGCAATTAACAAAAATGTGGTTTGGGTGAGCAAAACTTTTGAATTCTCATGACTCAGGCAGATTTTTTTCAAAGAGGATTAATTTCGGAGCCCTAGGGGCTCAAACAGAAAATTTACTTTCTTATGCTACAAAATTAAAGGGGGGTTGGTCCGCGGACATGCACAGGCCTTCTTATCTGAACATACCCTGCTGCTCTGCGTGCACTGCCCGACGTCACTATCTGTGATGTTGTACCTGGGGTTTTCGGTTGCCGTGTAGCACCTGTTTGTGCAAATACGCTCTACACTTGTTCCGTAACAGGTAACTGAGTAAAAGCTCTAATCACTTGAAAACATATGTATGTTTAGTACTTTATTGTGCACCGTTCGTGATACAGTTGTTGCAAAACTATTTTCGACAGCAACTGGCTCCTTCCTGCAGCCTGGGAAAATCAACCAATCGTGATCGAAAAAGTCGATCCTGACCGCAAGTAAACAATGTGACAACCATTGCACTTGCAGTGCTAGGGAGTGGTCGTAGTGAATAAAGCTATGGCAGTGGCAACCAAATTAGCATCAATGAACAAGAGGAACTGGAAATTCAAAAAGTTATAAAATAAAGCCCGAGTGATCATCTGTAAATAAACAAAGGATTAACGGGAATAATGTGAAATCAAAAGTGTTTTCACATATGATGAAACGAATGTAAAATAATAATTGGAGGGTTCTAACATCCCAAAGCCACAATATGATCACGAGAGATGCCGTAGCGGAGAGCTCTGGAAATTTCAACCACCTGGGATTCTTTAATGTGCACCTAAATCTAAATATAAAGCTATGGCAGTGGCAACCAAATTAGCATCAATGAACAAGAGGAACTGGAAATTCAAAAAGTTATAAAATAAAGCCCGAGTGATCATCTGTAAATAAACAAAGGATTAACGGGAATAATGTGAAATCAAAAGTGTTTTCACATATGATGAAACGAATGTAAAATAATAATTGGAGGGTTCTAACATCCCAAAGCCACAATATGATCACGAGAGATGCCGTAGCGGAGAGCTCTGGAAATTTCAACCACCTGGGATTCTTTAATGTGCACCTAAATCTAAATATACAAGCCTCCAGCATTTTCACCTCAATCGAAAATGTCGCTGCCGCAGCCAGGGTTCGATCCCGCGATCCGCATGCCAGCAGTCAACACCATAACCACTAGACCATCGCGGCAGGCAGGTATAAAATGTCTATGAATGTGCCACCTTCTCTCTTTCTTTCACAAACTATTCCTCTTTCTATTTAACTCACTCAATTTGGCAGGTCAGCTTCCCCTTCTCTCCACCACCACCCATTTTTGAAGTTGCCCTATGCTCCTTTGTTTGGGTTGAAGGAGAGGGTATTAAGTATATACATACACACGCTAAGGAAGGCAGCCTTGAAAAAATTTGCTATTCGAAACTGTGACAACACCAACATTTCATGTTTACGCATTTTTCATCTGACTGTGAAGAGTCACGATTCTAACTTCACTAGTGACATTTGCGTCACGGAGAAGTTACTTTGTTTGCAAACCTAAGCAAGGGTGCTGCAATACCCCTAGGACACATGTCATGTTTGAAGTAGGAAATTTGAGACGGTCGATTTTCGTTTGGAACCTGGAGACCCCAGCACAAAATGTTCCACTTAGCAAGTATTCTGTTTAATGAAAGATGAACAGAGCATGAAACCAATCATATTAATGGCAATTGTTTCATTTAAACAGCAATTCTGTTCACTCAGAGCCTCCAGAGCCTCAGAACTTTTCAGCCACCCATCATATCATTATTCAAGCCAACCTGTCAACACAAACAAATCTATAACAAACCGAAATCCCTTATCTCAGTGCTGACACCCAATTTACCTTTCTAGGCGTGTTAGTCCAGGAAAGGTGTGTAAAGTAGGAGTCAGTGGATATTGCCAAGATTTCTGCGTTCAGGCTCCGGAACTCAGCTGCGCGCTCGCTGTATTCAAGAAGCTCACTGGGACAAGCAAGGGAGCTGCAAAGACACAAAATATCAAATTTATATCTCATTCAAAAAAGAATGAGAAACAAAACATTTATTCGAATATTCAGTAGTAACTTTCAGTTTCATATTCCGTCCATTATTACTCTAAATAAAAAGAGCGCATTTTGAGTATCTTTCTGCCACACTGCGATAATTATCATCTCGCTCAATTCCTTCGTGACCCTGAAATACAGTATGCACCCGAATAAAGCAAGTAAATGCACACACGATAGATGATTATTGTTTTGACTCAAAAAAGTTGCTTCAAATGCACCCTTTCCTTCAAGACGGCAAGAGGAAACAAAGAGAGAGAAATTAGAATTATATACAGACTACCATTAAATGAAACCTGAAGGGACTACGAAAATATTTTAGAAGGAGTTCCAATTTGCTTGACATGATATAAATAGGCGGTCTAGAATTCAAGTAATAAACCGATTACATTTGAGGCAGTTCCTATTCTAAGAAGCAGTTCATTTAAAGGGCCAGTAAACAACCCTGAGGTCCAAAAATTGTGAACATGCTGCCACATGTGAACATGCTGCTGCAACAATTTAACAAATACATGCTATAATCAGAAAGTTGCAGGGGTTAGACCATATGTTTCAGCTGGTTTCAAATTTTCGCACGTCCTCACCACCCTTCACCATAGAGAGGTTAAGGCATAGCCCATCCCTGTGACTCTACCCACTTCAGCACCATAACACAATATGTGATCACCCCCCAGCCAACGACCAAGCAGGGCTTCTCTTATATGAGCATGTGTCACAGCGACGCGGGGAGAAAGCACGATGCGAGGACAGTTACCCTAGCGGCAAAGTAGGCGCGACACCCATTTACCTCAAAGGCTTTTTGTTGGCCACATAATACCACGCTTCCCAGTTGTCTCGGGCTATACAATACGCAGAGGACAGCACAGTAAAATGAAAGCAGATAAATTCTGAAAACGTGGTGAAACTTCATCACCACAGAATGAAGACACAAAGTACCGATCAACGAGCTCAGTGGTTTATGGAGTTGCCCATGGGCATGCTTGCATCACTGCATGTATGCGGGGTACTCATCAGGCATGGGAATAGTTCTCGAAATGGAGGGTCTCCGCGGCGCGTAGCGTTGTAATATTCGAAAAATGGGGTCGCCATGGTCCACTGTACAAATTGGCGAGCTTTTTGGGTGGTGTAAAAAGAAAGAAAGAAAAAAATAAAGACGAAGCCTGTTTACTTGCCACTTAAGAAATTTACATTTACACCGAGTCTATTATAGTTTTAAGTGAAGTCTTGCATTCTACTGCAGTTGAATATATATTCATGTAACACCTTTTTACTGCTCTGCCTAGAAAGCCATCCTTATTAATGATTGATATGTGGGGTTTAACGTCCCAAAACCACAATATGATTATGAGAGACGCCGTAGTGGAGGGCTCCGGAAATTTCGACCACCTGGGGTTCTTTAACGTGCACCCAAATCTGAGCACACGGGTCTAAAGCATTTCCGCCTCCATCGGAAATGCAGCCGCTGCAGCCGGGATTCGAACCCGCGACCTGCGGGTCAGCAGCCGAGTACCTTAGCCACTAGACCACCGCGGCGGGGCAAGCCATCCTTATTAAACAGTGGCAAGAACTCAAGAATGCCAAAATTCTGACGGATTTTTCATACATACCACATATAAACCTGCTACTTGTACCATGCATAAAATATTTCCAAATAGGCACATATGAAGTTTCATACACTTTACAGCGTATAGTTTGATAATTTGGACTCTGCTTGCACAACTGCACGTTGTTGGCCACTAATTGGAGCAGTAAGAGCTACTCTTTTTGTTTATATGTCAGGGTCAATTGTGCCCCATAAACAGAGGCAAACTAGTCGATACATTCACTTGTATATGCTTGATCTATCGAACAATGTTCAGAGAATACAAGGTAGATAGTTCTATACACTAACTCAATACTCTTCCAACACTAATCGGTTCAAATATTCACTTTTCCCTTTAGCTATGAAAGAACAGTACTACTAATTCAAACCCAGCATGACCAATTATTCATCCTTAAGCAAGTTTAAAACTGCTGCTCCTATGTCATTTTACAAATTTATTCACAATGCTCATAGACTTTTGCGCCGCCAAAAGGAATTCAGGAGCGTCGTCTCGAGGAGGGCCAGTACACGACACAATGGCAGCACTACGCAATCACTCCCTTGTTCGACTTAGCGCATTTTTCCTGCATCAAAGAACAAATCAGGCCCTCTGTGACACAACAAATCGCGATTCGCTCTAGCGAGACTCGATGTTTACATGAAAATACGTGGTAGCTCCCGCTTTCAATGACAGCTCACAACAAAGACATGCCAGCTTTGAGAGGTTTTCTGTAGCCACGTAGGTTAGTTCAATGTTATCGTCTGAACTTTTCAGTTTCAAGTTCACCTTGTTTTATTTGCATAAAGCATTCGTCAGTGCTACTGTAGTGCATGAATCCCGTACAATATCCCCAGAAAGTCGTGCAGGCTCGTGATTTGCTCTTTTATACCTGAGCAATTTCAAACTGATTAGCGCTGCACGACTTGCGTTTGTGTGTTTGCCGACAGGTGGCAGCACACTGCAAGCAATTTGTTGACAAGTTTAAAAGGCCCTGATACACTTTTTCAAGTAACCATAGAATAGATTCACTAAAATAGTTTTTTGCCTCAAGAATTCAACACAGCAGAAATTTTAAGAATCGTTCCAGTACAAGCAAAGTTACATAGATTTGTCGCACGCTGCAATCTCATTTTCTCTTCTCTCGTCCCGACGAAAGCGCTGGAAGCTAAGCAGGGGGATGACAACGAAAATAAGTCACGTGCGCCTCGTGACCTTGATCACTTCTCCTTCCCTCCTTTTTTTTTTTTTCTGCAAATACACGGCTTTTTCAGTGCGATCGCCTGCGCACGCATAGATAAGTTGGAGCCTCCCACGGCGATCCCTGTAACGACCGAGCGCGCAATGTTCAAATAAGCCAATGGCTCATAGATGGCTTTCTACAAGTGATTTTTGAGTGTGTCATTTGTCAAGAGAAAGCAATTTTTAACCGACTTTGATAATTTATTGTGAATTCCAAGCCGCATGCTGCGCAATTATATTTGGTTCACGTGTTGTCGGGAGCCTCTAGTATCGATTGGCAGCGTTATCTGACCATGCTCAAAAAGTGTTGCAGAGCTCCTTTAAGAGTAAAATGTTCTCTGCGCCTAAATGAACACCTAAACATGGTGACGCAGTGTAGTCAAAGTCTTTCGGCGGAAGAAATTCATCGGATTCCTTTCAGCAGCAATGTTGAAAAAAAATCAATTTGGCGACGAGGATTTTTCACAGAGATGATGCTCGATCAGGTGCTAACTCGTGAAAAGCGAGTTGCACTTCATGTCCCCTCGTGCTTACGGTTTTTTTCATGCTCATAAGTCAATTTGATTGCATTTAATGTATAACATCCTTCTGTGAAATCAACATAAACCATAGTTTTTCTGGTGCATTGCATGTAGAGCAATTATTGGGGATATTATGGAGCAGCGAATGGTGCCAAAACATTCATACTCGACCAGCGAAGCGAAATGCTTAGAGCGATAAAACGTGCAGTCACGACAACAATCCAAGTCTCTCGGCTAACTTCTCCTGTGCGTCACCGGTACCTTCCAAACGGCATTGTTGTTCAGACTAATTTTTGCAATGAGGCAGATTCAGGCGTTGCATATGTGCATACTTTTTTGGATAATGATACATGTTTGATCGTGCTGATCGAACCTACAACATCCTAGTGCTGCAACATCCGAGTACTGTGAGCATGGTTGTGACACAAGCACTAGCGAATGGGGTGTGAAATGCTTGTATTCCTTTGAAGAAGCGACTCTGTGTTCCCAGCTGCACAAGTAATGACGGCCGCATGTCTCCAAACTATCACCATGTGAAACATTCGGTCCCAGGCAATACCAATGGTACTACTCGTTAGTGGCCTACTGCTGCTGCAAATTCTTCACGCAGGCTCGGTACATACTGCCTCGGAGTGCCGTTCAGTTCAGAAGAACCGAGTGTTTGGCGAGTTGGTATTCCATGGTGGATGCGAAATTGCGCAAAAAAAAACACGAACAAGAAGGAACAGTCCATGCTCTCTTCCTACTTGTTCGTATTTTTGTTGCGCTAATTCCCATTCGCCATCCAGTTCATGCAGTTTTCTGTAGCACGCACAGGATTTCACAAAAGATCGTTCACGCACGGTATTGGAGCTGAAATACAACCTTTCACACCACAGCAAATCATTAAGTGGCGAGCTTTTGTCCGAGATTCTGTTCGCATTCTTCAAAGGTCGCAGGTTCAATCCCTACCCAAGGCAAGTTATCTTTTCGTCCTATTGTCTTTCTTCACATTTGCATTACAATTACTTCCAATAACATCCCCTCTGCTTTTCTTTGCATGATTGTCTGTTAGATCTCATTAATATTGTGTCTAACAAAGAAGGCGAGCCTTTAGATGTCCAATTCTTTCTTTTATGGTTTGGTAAAGTGTTTTAATATATAAATTTCATTTTTGTTTCTCATATAAATTTCAGTGCAACTCGGAAGTTCATGCGGTGAAAGCAGTGCAGGCAGCACCTCGTTCTTGTTCCTGTGCTTACAAATGGGTTGACCCTCCTCTGGGCGCCACCTTGAATGGTATAGTATGCCACCGATTGTTTGTGGGCATTACGAATAGCTTTTCTTTTTCATGCTTATCTTCACTTTCTCATCAATGAATTATTTTTTTTACTCTTTTAGTAAGATGCCTCAATGCTGAAGAACAATGTTAACCATGTATAATCATAATTTTTTCTTCAAGTGCCTTCCTTAATACTGTATCACCCCCAGGTAGGCAGTATTCTGAAATAAATGAACAGTGCTGAATATCAGCACTACATCTTTCTCAGCAAACTGAAATCCTGTTAATGTTAATCTGGACGTGTATCTTTCAGTGCCTTAAGGTTTCAGTTAATAAGGTTCAAGTGCATAGACATTATGGTTATGGCATGGTTACCGAGGTGTACAGTATGGTCTATGGTTAAAGAACATGTGAGCACACAGTGCACACTCCACGTAGCTCGTTGCAAAGGAAGGAGTAAAAAACGAACACTTGTGCAGAACAACGCAGCGGCAGCACGTACCACGCGTCATCTGCTACTGAATCATCTTCACATAGCTCGTACGCGACCACGATGCCATGGCCTTGCCATGAATCGCACACCAAGAACTGTGAGAGCTTCGAATGACAGACACGTTGCTACCTCCCACATGACATGCAAAAAGGAGAACAGAATATTTTAGCTTTCCAGGAACAAGAAATATAAACAAAACAAGACATTTACACTGACAAACTTAAAAGTACAGTAGAATCTCAGTAAACGGGAATCGATTATATGAAACTGCTGATTAAATGGAACAGCTGCATCCACCACAATTTGTTTCATGCTTGGACTCTCCGCTCTTATTCATCCCTCAGTAAACAGAACTCCCGGTAAATATAACACCTTTTCCTGGTCCCTTCAGGCTCTGTTTAATGAGAGTCAACTGTATATGAGCTCTATGTTTACTTGCTACACAGCCCTTATTCTTCGGTGCACAGATTTATAAGCAGGAATTCACTAAAAAATTTTGAATGTTTCTTGGTGAACAATTGCATGGCACGGCTATGTGAAAGCAAAGTGAAAGGTTGCTTCAGTAGCAGACTACATGCAGCACGCGCCACCCCTGTGTCAGTTTGTACATGCATTTGCTTTTTATGTTGCGGAAGCGTGAACCATGCCCTCGCATGTGAGAGAGTACAGTCTCCCGTCAGTCTCGCCGATGCTCAGTCTCCGTGCCACATCACTGCGTGCCCTGCCACTGCACAGCACCTCCATGGGTCTGTCGTGGGGTATGCCGCCTTCCCCCTCCAACACAACAAAGACCTAGGAGGAAAAGGCCCAAGGGCGTGTTTTAGGCTTCCCTACCATCACAACAGCAGCCTCCCTCAAGAGGCTACTCTATGTAGTGTGAAACCCTGGTTCTTTTTTGAGGGGCATTGTTGTATGACAAGAGATATTCTCTCAGTATGCTACGGGAAAGTGCTCTCTCTGTAAGGTTCTGCTTGCCAAGACTCCATCAGGGCCCGAAGGATGGTAAGACTGTCACATATATCACAGATTGGAGAATCCTTGCCAGTCAGCAAGCTTTTGCGCATGCTTGAAGCGTAGACTCATGAACAATCAAAGAGGACAACGCGTCATGATTTTATGGTTGACATACGGTTTCCCAACTGAACTAATTCTATCTAATGCCCCCAAATTTCCTCTTTTTGCCACACCACTTGATTTTCTTTCATTGTCAACTGTTCTTCCACTACTTTTTCATCTCTTCTGTAACATCAGCAATCCACAACATGAATGGTAAAAGGTCCTTAATTCGACCCTTGTTAATTTGGAAAGTATCATTTGGATGTGTTATCTGGCCTCGGCCAGCATACGCAATATTCAATAGCATGAAACAATTGTTAATTCAGTCACAGTTAACCCGCAACCTGCCTAAATCGGACAGTACTCATAAAGTCTGCCAAGTGCCACGAATAGCAAAAATGACGTTCACAGACAAATAAAACAAGGCAGTCTTAGACGCATTGCTATCTTTGTCAGTGACCAAGGTTTCACCCACATGTGCATCTGGCACCCTGCAGCTTCATTTTGACTTCACCTTGCACGCATGTCACAAAAATAAAACATTGAGGTTGAAGAGCTGTCAGCCGTGGTCAGTATGCTGGCATAAAACTTGTTTGCTACTTCGTGACGATGCATTACGAGCTTTTTGCCATTTTACCTGCAAAATAACTATGGTACTGTGCACATGGTAGTCGCAGTAGTGCACAATATGTTTTGGGCTATCAAAACAAAGGAGTACAGTACTGTGGTCGCAACTGGAGTGAAATAGCAAGATGACGAAAGCTGCAGTTTCTCCTGTCCTTTCTTTTCTATCTTTGACTTCGTTTCTCTCTCCACAGAATGATTATACACCACTCACCTTGTATGGGTTGCAGAAATTCACTTTTTTTTCTTCCTGGCTTCCAATAGCTATCTCTACTTATGTTTATGAAAGACGTGAAAAAATTTGCAGCAAGAGGTTGGTAAGCAAACAGTCTTAATAGTGTCATGCCATGATCACTGAGAAGTTTCAGGGTAATAGCACAGGTCCATCATGACCAGTGAGGCCTTAACCGAATATACGCATTCCCAAATATCTGTTGTCAAGTTTGATTATGTGCAAGGAGACCGTTTGTAAATACTATTACAAAACAAAATTGTGTACGTGAAACATGTTTTACTCACAAGTCCTGAGGGTAAAAGAACAGCAACAGGTATTTCCCTTCATAGTCGCTCAGCTGGACTTCCCGGACCTGGCTGTCCACCACAGCTATCCCTTTGAAATCAGGTGCCTGATAGTGCACTTGGGGCAAGATGCCCCAAGGTGGAAGGTGGTACCGCACAGCTGGTGGTGCAGCCACTGTAAACAAGAAAAGGAGGGCATAACATGAGTGAGGTGAAAAAATTATAACAAGCAAAGCCCGCTCCTGTTTTTGACTGCCTTATAGACTGCCATAAGCCTTCATTATTAAGGAAATACCTACAATGAGGAGTGCCACTAGCGCGAGCCCAGGCTTTGCACAGAAAATCATTCAGGTGCACAGCTTCATCTGTCACATTCGAGCACTGCTGACCACACTGACAGTAGAGACTCACCAGGTGGTGGGGATGATCTCCTTTTCCGTGGCCCAAACGTGGTCGCGGGCCGCGAAAGCTCTTCCTCCTGAATCTGGAACGAATTGTTAGACTGAACTGGCGCGTTAGCTTGCCGACATAGCACGACGCTCCACGAGGGGTGACAGCCAGGCACTGCGCCTAGGACCCACCTGATCAGCGGATTGCATTTCCGTCATCTCCGGCAGCGTCTGCGCTTCAGCTTGGTTGGCGAAGCCCAACAAAGCCTTCACGTCGTCGACCGCCCTGACCGTATCGCGGTGGTGTTTGGTGCGCGCGTGCTTTTCCAGCTCGCTCTTGCCCGCTCTGAGATCAGCGTTGCACAGCTTGCACCTGGCACGATATGGATCGTTCGGCACGCTAACAAGCCAGTTCTTGAAGCGATCGTCCTCCAGCCAAGAGTCTCGGAACTTTTGCTTGTACCACTTTATGCTCTGTGATGCGCTGCCACCCGGCTTCCGTTTGGCGGCTACCCTTGTCTCAGCCGTGACCGCAGCAACTTTGTTACTGTGCAGCGGGGAAAGTGCCGTCACTTGCTCCTCCATGGACTCTGCAAAAAAGTGGCCCATCAGCTTAAATCAGAACGTAAATGAGACGTAATAAAAGTTCATCCGCCACAGTAACGACGTGCGGTGAATGAGCGTCCGATGCGTGGGCTCGAAGACTGCCGCCGCTCGAACGCTGGGAGCGAGGAACGAACGGTGCACCGCCCCAGAGACGCCATGTTTAGGGCAACGCTACTAACAGATTCCTGAGCGGCTGACCGACGTTTTGACTGGGAAGATAGCGAGCAGCCACATTTCCATTCACACAGCACATGTGCTAGGACACGTTTTGGACAACATACAACATGCGAGCAGCTAAATTCACCAGCGATTCCCTACAAAGCTCCTGTAAAGCAACTTCTTCCCTAGTTCCTCGTAATCGGAATAACCTGATCAGTCACACGGATTCAAGTTGAAAAAAAGAAATGTTCGACTTACATGAGTAGCCGCGGTTTTTACAGTTCGCAGTGTCATCCCAAGGCGCACATTATATATTCAACCATACACGGAAGAATATATAATGTGCGATTAAAATAGGCTTTCCAATTCATTACTCCCTAGGGCACGCAACACACGGAACGACAACAAGAAAACAAAATGGCGCTGTTGACGGTCAATGTGGCTAGACGGCTAGACCGAGTTGCGGCTATGCAAACATCAAACAGTTGCTAGCGCCGCCGTTAAAAGATAGTTTCGCATAACCGTCGTCTGCTGCGTCGTCAGCCAATATTTCAGCCGCGGAGTACTCAATCTGGCAAGAAAAAATCATTAATGCTAATGCTGCCACGAATAAATACACAAGAGTGGTTATATAACAAGCGACGTCGGGCTGCTGAAAATGCCCTCAATTTGAAAAAACAGAATAACATCCGGGGGTTGAACAGCGCAATTTCACACGCCCTCTGAGAAAGGCTGGACGCCTAACTACGGACTATGGCTATCCACTATATAGTGCTATAAACAAAGTGTTAAAATGATGTAAATGTCTTTTTGTGCCGAGTCAGAATTTCCAACATACAGCGCTTTTCACCACTGGTGGTGATCTCGAAAAATTTTTGGAACGGCGAGTTAACGTTGAGGTCATAGACTGAACTCTTGTAAAGACACAAACATCACATATAAGGGAGGGGTGTGGGGGCACACCAACGGCTATAAGGGCACTTATGCAGCCATAGTAAAATGATGCAAGGTTATTTAATTGTGGGATAAATCACTAAAAGTTCCCTAACACGAGTTCTTGATCTCCACTTTCCTGGCAAACGCGTCCCCGTGATTCGGCATAAACTTTGTAACGTTCTAACGCGCCACCTAAATTTATAGGAATAAATCCACAGGGAGAAATTAGAAGCCACTATTATAACTACACACAAATCGTTAAGTCGTTGGTTTAACTGCTGTTTAAAAGCACGATATGACACGCAGCGTTGGAAAAGCTATTGAATGGCTCGCAAATACAATTTTAATACACGCAACGCCAACCCCACCCAGGGGAAATACTTGTAACGATCTATTCAATTGTTTCAGTCCTTATCTACCTTTGCGACATATGAAACTCACAGGCAACCACAGTGCGGTAGTATTCGAGCCAACGAAGGCAGAAAAGAATTAAAAATGTAACGTATCATTGAAAATAAGAAAATAAAGCTTCAGTTTACAAATGCCGAAACACGAATACTAAGCAATTTTTAAAATGAGTTTACAAAAACAGAGACTGCCCGTAAAGAGTGCGCTCCCCAAGTTTTTTTTTTTTTTTTTCTGGACACCATACGATATGACATCGCGACTGCATGATATGAACGGTGACTACGCGACTACACCAGTAGCGATAAAACATCAGCGATATATCGTTGCCGCGAGACTATGTAATTTTCAAAATACGACATACGGGATGGCAACTAGAGACACAATCTCCATGACGAAAACTCTGCATCACAGTGTAAGAAATCTTGAATTGTTCCAATTATAACAGGAAAGTTTTTTTTTCCTTCGCCGAAAAAAATTCATCGCTCGTTAATCGGCGCCAAATCGCATGCCAGGTTTTAATGCCCTACAAACCACGTCTGTACGAAAGAAAGAAGGAAATTGGATCAAGAGACTCGTTCATTCGTTGGACAGAAGTTAGTGAAAGCACACTTGGAAACCACTTATTGCAGGTGTTTAACACAATGACAAAATTACGAAGGTTTATCAGCAAATGGGATGGTACCGTGAATGGCACCAAGCAATTGTTTGCGGGTGTACGTCAATTTGTATAAAAATTTTCCATTGCCGCAAAACACCAGCGCGCGAATGGCGCGAATAAACGGCAGTAGTGACAATATAAATGCACCAAGTAGAAAGAAGAACAAAAAAAAAAAGAGGTCCGCGCGAATTTTTGCTCGCTCACCTACCTTATAGCTATTTGACCGCTGAAGATTGAGAGGCGATTGGGGCAATTCAAACCAACGAAGAGGGTTTCTCACTACATAATAAAACAAAAAAGATAGAGAAATGGATACATGCAATGTGAATATTGTAAGTATAAACGTGCGTCACAAGCGACGGTAAGAAACAAAACGAAAGTGGAAAGCACTACGCTGAACGTAACAAAACCAACAACAGCGGTAAATCACAGGCTCATTGTATTCTCTCACCGACAACGTTCACTATGAACGGCACTTTGTTCAGAGTGAACGTTTAGAACGGTGCAGCACCATCGGAACATCATTCAAGAGCACTGTAAATGCACGCAAAATCAGCATGAACTCGAGCACATAATCAGCCCTCGCAAGCTACCACGTTGTGACCGCAACGGAGCATTTCACGTAAAGGGACAAGAATCCGAGGTCGGCGAGACACGCCCGATGCGGCTACCAACTATCCAGTAACACCAATAAGCACTGCTGAACTATTGCCTACAAATGTTCAAACATACCGCGTGGAGAATTAAAACGTGAATATATTATAACAGCGAGGGAATTGACCGATTTTGACCTAGCACAATCTCTGCGACGCAGACAAAGCGACTGACGAAGAGCTTGGGGAAACGGTCGTTCCCCAGGCAGCCACCCAAAATGGCGATATAGGGGACATTGCGCAGTACGACTTTACCAGTGCACTGATCACTCGTTGCTGGTAAATTACCTCTACAATGATCACAAATATAAAGCGAGCAGCTTCGCGGTTCATTTTTTAATCGAAATACAATCGTCCCCTCAACCACACAAAAGGCATTTGACGCGCGAAGTACCGGGCCGGCACGAAAATCCCTGTTTCGTATCGGTACATTCCAGCCTTGTTTTCTCGACAATTCTTTTAGGGAAACCTAAGAACGGAGCAAATATTCAGCTCTAGTAGTTAGCCAGCCACGCCGTGTGTTGAGATACGTGTGTTAACGTCTTCATAACAAGCGTTCGTTTCTTATAATTGTGTCAGGCTTAACGCCATCACAGCCCTCGTAGAATCGCGCCGCCCAGGAAACCGCCATGGGGGCTAGTGGAGCACGCAAGGGTTACGAGTGAAACACAGCTTTGTTGATGCGCTGTGAATGCTGTTTATTTCTCCGTATCAGGTCGCCTTCGATGCTGCTATTGTGAGCTATACTGCCAGTTGGTGTAGCTATATGTATACGGTGTGTTTCAAGTGCGACCTAGTGTATTTTTGTTCCGCCACTTCGAAATTGGTACAGTTATAGCGTTTAGTCATGTCTATTGGCCTCCCTGCGGGCTTGTTGCATGCCCAAGCGCATTTTTGCTTCACTGCAGTCGTTTGTTGTCTGTGAGTTCTTTTTAGTATACTCGTTGTGGGGGACCAGATACTGCATGAGTAGTCATTATGCGCTTGAGTCCAAGATTCAAGCGTACGAATGACCTTGCAGAATCAGTCCAGCGTTTTATCGCTTCTTCGGTGTCTAATACGAGCCGAAAAAAAAATAATCAGCAAGCTGTTTAGATTACGTCGCATGACTTGAGAGTCCTGCATTCACGGCACAGCGGAGCCAAAATGGGCCGCCTAGACTGCTTTGTGATTGTTGTTAAACCTAAATGTTCAGCGAGAAGAGTGAAATCAACTGCAGAGCTAAACTCAGCCGTCTAGGCCACGAACAGGTAGCTAAGTTTAACACCGCTGTTAATTTCACTCTTACGGGACCGTCGGGCCGCTTACACGGCTGAGGAAAAGGTAAGGCACGCTCTTTCACTTTCATTCTAAAAAAAAAAAACGATCGGCTCGACAAAAAGCTGGTATGAATTAATTTGAATACCTGTCTATATGTCTTATTTTTTTTATTTTACCGAGAGCTTCTGTTTATTTTTTTATAGTGGCGTTGTTGAGGTTCCTTCATGAATTATCATCGTTAAAACAAAACGCTACATTGTACTCTTGCTTGATTTACGATAAAAAAACTATACAAAAAAAAACTTGGTTCGAAGGAGTTTACAGAAACGCATAACGTCTGACCTGTGTCTCGCGTACGTTAATATCTGCCGTGCATTACTTACCTCGAAACGTGTAATTAGAACAGCTGAGCGAAATAAAATAAAAATATTGTAAAGGGTAGTTCAAATGCAAGGTGCTTAAACGAGGCCACCTGCAAGCTTTTAGGTTGTGTTTCGAATATGCTTCAGAAGACATTCTTGAGGGCTATTTTTCCGAACGTCGCCATTGGAAATGAATGTATGACAGGGATGTTCTGCTAAGCGTGTACAATAAATAATACTTAGCTCATGGCGCAGACCTTGTGATACCCGTGTTAGTGGCGCAATCGCTCGTTCCTACTTGCACAGCACAAAATCAACGGAAATTTTTTTAACAGCGCCACCGAAAAATGCATAAAAGATAATTATGCCATGCACACTATTTGCAAAGACTCAATTTAAATGTCGGTAACTCTTGGATAAAATGAATACCTGGCACTACGTGTAACGAAGGGCCCACTTTTCGGTGCCCCAGAATTAAGGGGTTTATCTGCGTGAGACTCTGAAAGCCCAATGTCATTTACATTGAGATTTCACGGCCTTACCACAGAACACCTACCAGTTCACATAAAATTCTAGCTTTCGTGTTGCCGTCTGCGGGGAATCTAGGTACCCCGTATGAAGGTTGGGGTTCACTGGGCCTCGGCACCGTGTTTCGATCTAACGTCAGATGGGAACAGCAGCAAAGCCTGACATTTAGCGTCAAGGGAGAAACCTCCCAAACCATAAGTTGGGGACATTCCGGAGCACTGGCACTCGAGGAACTTACCACTTTCCGGGAGATGAGAAACTGAACTATGTGTTTGGCTTAAGAAGTTCGTATAGCGCGTGCTAACGAACACGATGATCAAGGC